AAGAATAGCAGCACAATTGGAAGAGCGTAGTCGATGTCACTGAACTGTGCATGTAGAAATTTTTGAAATGGTGTATCTTTGGCTATGTATATTTTCACTAAAAAATAATAATAATAATAAAAAAAGGTTGAGAAGGGAGAGGGTTGACATGTCGTGGGGTTGTTAACCAATGTCATAAAACAATATGTGTACTACGGTTTCATGAGAATCTATTTGTTCTGTAAACCTTCACCTGAAGTACAATAAAAAAATTTAAAAACAAAAATTGGAGTCAATCCTCTCAAACCCTGCCACTGCTCTATCAACTAACTTTATGTAATTTTCTAAATCCTCTGTTGTCATTTCAGCAACTTTCACAGCTTCTTCACCAGGAGTAGATTCCATCTCAAGAAGCCACTTTCTTTGCTCCTCCATCAGAAGCAACTCCTCATCTGTTAAAGTTTTATCATGAGATTGCAGCAATTCAGTCACGTCTTCAGGATCCACTTCTAATTCTAGTTCTCTTGCTATTTCCACCACATCTGCAGTTACTTCCTCCTCTAAAGTCTTGAACCCCTCAAAGTCATCCATAAGTATTAGAATCAACTTCTTCCAAACTTCTTCCAAACTCCTGTTGATGTTGATATTTTGACCTCCTCCCATGAATCACGAATGTTCTTAATGGCATTTAAAATGGTGAATCCATTCCATAAAGTTTTCAATTTACTTTGCCCAGATCCATCAGACGAATCACTATTGATGGCAGCTATAGTCTTAAGAAATGTATTTCTTAAATAATAAGACTTGAAAACCAAAATTACTCCTTGATCCATGGGCTGTACAATGGCTGTTGTGTTAGCAGGCATGAAAACAACGTTAATCTCCTTGTGCATCTCCATCATAGCTCTTGGGTGACCAGGTGCTTTGTCAATGAGCAGTAATATTTTGAAAAGAATCTTTTTTCTGAGCAGTAGGTCTCAACAGTGGGTTTAAAATACTCAGTAAACCATGTTGTAAACAGATGTGCTGTCATTCAGGCCTTTTTGTTCCATTTACAGAGCACAGGCAGAGTAGATTTAGCATAATTCTTAAGGGCTCTAGGATTTTTGGAATGGTAAATGAGCGTTGGCTTCAACTTAAAGTCACTATCTGCATTTGCCCCTAACAAGAGAGTCAGCCTGTCCTTTGAAGCTAGGCATTGACTTCTCTCTAGCAATGAAAGTCCTAGATGGTATTTTCTTCCAGTATAAGGCTGTTTCATCTACATTGAAAATCTGTTGTTTAGTGTGGCCGCCTTCATCAATTATCTTAGCCAGATCTTCTGGATCACTTTCTACAGCTTCTCCATCAGCACTTGCACTTTCATGTTATGGAGATGGCTTCTTTCCTTAAACCTCATGGACCAACCTCTGCTAGCTTCAAGCTTCTCTTCTGCAGCTTCCTGACCACTCTCAGCCTTCAGAGAATTGAAGAGAGTTAGGGCCTTGCTCTGGATTAGGCTTTGGCTTAAGAGAACGTTGTGGCTGGTTTGATCTTCCATCTAGACCACTCAAACTTTCTCCATATCACCAGTAAGGCTGTTTTGCTTTCTTATCATTGGTATGTTCACTGGAGTAGCACTTTTAATTTCCTTCAGGAATTTTTCCTTTGCATTCACAACTTGACTAGCTGGCACAAGAGGCCTAGCTTTCAGCCTGTCTGGGCTTTTGACATGCCTTCCTCACTAGGCTTAATCATTTCTAGCTTTTGATTTAAGTGAGAGACATGCGATTCTTCCTTTCACTTGAACACTTAGAAGCCATTGTACGGTTATTAACTGGCCTAATTTCAATATTGTAGTGTCTCAGGGAATAGGAAGGCCCGAGGAGAGGGAGAGAGACAGGGGGACAGCTGGTTGGTGGAGCAGTCAGAACACACACATTTAGCGATTAAGTTCGCTGTCCTATATAGGCACAGTTTGTGGTGCCCCAAAACAATTACCACTGTAACATCAAAGATCACTGATCACAGATCACCATAACAGATATAATAATAATGAAAAAATTTGAAATATTTCGGTGAAGGACAGAATATCCAGAAGGAAGCTCAACAAAGACACGTAAGAGCTAAATGCTACAATCAACCAAATTGATCTCATAGACATATACTGAACATTCCACCCAACATCAGCCAGGTATACTTGCTTTTCCAATGCACATGGAACATTCTCCAGAATAGGCCATATATTAGGCCATAAAGCAAGCCTTAATAAAATCCAAAGCATCGAAATATTACAAAGCATCTTTTCTGAGCATAAAGCCATAAAAATAAACATCAACAACACAAAAAGCAAGGGAAAAAAATCAAACACATGGAAACGGAACAACACCTTGCTCAAAAACTGCTGGGTCATAGACAAAAGAAAGGATGGAATAAAGGAATTCATGGAATCAAAAGAGAATGAAAACACATCCTACTAGAACCTTTGGGACATAGCAAAAGCAGTGCTCAGAGGTCAGTTTATAGC